CATATGTAGTTTTAGTAGAAACTGTACAAGTTTAACAAAGAATGTGAATATTAAAAAGATTCAAATAAAACTAAATAAAGATTTAAAAACTAAATAAAAAACCAAATATAGCTTAGTTACAGTGAAAAATGTTCAAAAATTTTTCATCCAATATTTGGGTTAATAGGAAATTTACCGTCGGAATCTTGCGTTCCTACATAGAAAAGTCAAAGACGCGAAACTCTAGCGATTTCAAACTTTGCAAATGGCTTAGCTAGGATTGTCACTATTAATTACCGTTTTTAAAATTTGTGTATCATATCACATGATGATATGACAATCCGGTAAAAAAGGAGTATTAGCCATTTTTAACAATAATTTGCGTGAATCAGCATTATTAAAATTCTCTGGTTGAGTGGCGATTTGTCCCTTAAATTATATTTTATTGTTAAAGTTAATAAAAAAACAATAGAAAAACTATTAAGAACCAATTCGCAGATAATTTCTAAGCTTAAAGTTCTTATCACTGGACAAAAAAATCTCAAAACCCGTCTCTCAGGCATAGAAAAAAAGCTCAACGATAATAACAGAAATAATAATAATACAATAGATCCGAAGTATGTAAAGGTAATAAAGATGAATATTATTTAATGTAAACCTAAAATGCTAACCACGTTTGATTAAGAGCTCGTTAAGAAGGTGTTGAAAATTTTGTTTGAAAATTTTGTTTATCCTTCGCAAGACGAGTACAAACTCGCTACTGAAAAATATTTAAAAAACAAAAATCTGGAATTTATACGCCAGTTCAAAAAAAATCAATGGATTATTTTTTCAAAAAAAAAATTACCCCGACTGTAAGTTAAAGCAATTATGAATTTTATTAAATTTCATACTAACATTTTTTTTAATAGTTAGTACAATAACGTAGAAGCATACAAGAGACGTTCACTTCTAGAGTCAAAGACGTTATGTATTCTGTTTTCGAAGCGACTGGGCATAAATTACCGTCTATTAACACTCAGGCTAGTCCGTCAAAGATTCAGAAATGGAAGAGTAAGGCGGAGGTGAAAAGATGTTACAACAACCTATTTAAAAAGGTTAAAGATAGGCAACCTACGAAATATATGTCGCTGATAATTGATAAGTTGCGAAAAGAAAATAAAAATCACTCAAAAAAAAAAATAGCATATGCGATTAGCATATGTGAAAAATACTTAAATCCTAATAATAAAAACATTCAAATGAGCGAAAGTATAATGAAGTCGAAGATAATCAACAACTTAGTAAGTTTTTAATTTACAATTTGCAAAATGTGAATTATTTGAATTACAGTTTATTTATTTATTTATTGATTTTTAGTAAAAGTTGGAAAATAGGGATAAATTTACACATTCAGACAACAATTCTCATGATGGTAATGATATAGATGATAGTAGTGATGAAGCAGCTAACGATAGAGCAGGTGCAGCTAATGATGGTGTGACTAACGATAGTGCGGCTAACAATGGTGCGGCCAACAATGGTGCAGCCAACGATGGCATAGCTGACGATGATATACTTTCTATTGACTCTTATAACACAGAGGAGGAAGGTCGGTATGTAAATAGTTTATTAAAGAATTATGGGTTGCATAGGAAATAAATATTATTTTTTATATATATCACATATACATGCCACCCAAATTATTTTGGACTACCGTAATTATAAGTAAAATCCCAAATTCAATTATAGCATCCCAAATTATTTTGGCACTTTACATAGTAAATTATATATAAACTGAATGAATTATGGCATCCCAAATTATAATTATGGCATCCCAAAATAATTTGGGCAGCATGTATAATATCACACGTAATAGTACCAATGTACCATAATAATATAGTTTTAATAAATAAAATGGTTATTAATTCTTAACAACACAGGTGTGACATAAATAAATCGTGGCTAAAATTTGTGTTCAATTTGTGTTCAATTTGTATTGATAATTCTGGTAAAAATTTGTTAATTTTGGCCAAATTTCGTTAAATTTGTTAAATTTGTGTTGAATTTGTGTTGATAATTTTTAATTTATCATGAGGGGATGATATTTAGTAATTGTGCATATACAATTTCTGTACGATGTACATAATTTTTTAAAATGCAGATTTCCGTAATTTTACGATATCGTATTTTCTGGCCAATCAAAATTAGGCTGATCCTTACATGTAATTTAATCATTTAATCATGCACGCGTTTTTTATCTTATTTATTTTTATCTCTTATTTCTTTATTCTTTTATTCAATATTTTTAATTTTTTTGTCTCTTCTTTCTATTATTTCTTTAATTATATACAATATATTTACATATATTTCATAATTTATTGCTGTTTATTAATACTAATTATTTTCATTTTTTTTTACCTCTTTGTTAATTTGTATCGTAATACTAACAATAATATCCATGTTTCCTTTATTCCTTTTTACTTGTACTTTAATACTAACGATACTAACAATACTAACAATATGTTTATTTTATCCTTTCTCTTTATTTCTTTATTCTTTTGTTCAATTACTTTGCAGGTATAGAAATATTTATTTATTAATACTAATTATTTTAATATTAACGCATTTTTTTTTACCTCTTTGTTACTTTATGTCGTAATACTAACAATACTATCTACATTTCCTTTATTCCTTTTTACTTGTACTTTAATACTAAAGATAATATCCATGTTTCTTTTACTCTTTTTACTGTTTCTTTAACTCTTTTTACCTTAATACTAACAATAATAACAATATTTCTTTTATCTTTATATCTAATACTAACGTTACTATAGCTGTTTCTCTTCTTTTTACGTCTAATAATATTGTTACTCTTTACTCTTTCTTTTTTTTACTTTTATGTATTCTGTATATATTAATAAATACTTGTAATTTTTTATGGTTTAATAAAATTATATCTAATAAAACATACATTATATAAACTTATAGTACAGAAAATGAAGTATTATTTATCGAAATATTTTGAAATATTACAAAAATCACAGAATATTACGAATCATCAAATTATGGAGCATTACACATCATAGAATTTTGAAATATTTAAAAAGTTTAGTTGCGAAGTATTACGCAGTAAAATTACGGAATATTACAAATCATAAAATTATGAAGCCTTGCATATAGTAATATTTTAAAATATTTTAAAAAGTTACAAAATATTACGTTTATGCAAACTTGCGGCAAATCTGAAAACTTACGAAATATTATGTAAAATTACGAAATATTGCGAACCGCAAAATTACGGAATATTACAAATCGTAAAATTACGAAACTTTGCATATCGTAATATTTCGAAATATTTTAAAAAGTTACAAAATATTACGCTTACGCAAACTTGCGGCGGGTCTGGAAGCTTACAAAATATTATGATGTGTAAACTTGCGCAACTTTTCGCACTATATAATTTCCTGATGTTCCTCTCTAAGTAAGGATGGTCATCGGTCCTACCGGTCCTACTCGGTCCTGGACTGGTCAGTCCCAGGACTTGTAGGACCGGACCGCGGTCTTGCATTTTTTCGTGGCGCAGTAAGACCGGTCCCGAGGACCGACCAGTCCTCATATCGGTCTTTATATAATAAATGATTTTTATATTGAATAAATCTATTAATCTGATGAAGGTCTTTATAAAATAATATAAAGACTGACCAATTTTAAACCAATAAACAATGACAATCACTTCTTCCCACTTGTAGAGTTGCCTGTCAAAACGCCAACTCCAAAAAAGCGTTTAAGCGAAATATCTCGTCATCCAGTGATTATAAAATGATGAAACCACTACCATTCGAATCGTCTCAACGAGACGCGTCGAATGGTGGCTAAATCATATTTTCAGGATCGATAGATAGCCGGCAATTATTAAATTTGTTATCAAATAGTTTTGCCGATGTAATTTTTTTTCTACTGATTATAAAATAATGATTTTGATACCATTCGACGCGTCTCATTAAGATGATTCAAATGGTGGTAGTTTCATATTTTTATAATCACTGGATGGCGAGATATCACGATTATTATCACTAATACAATAATTGTAAGTGCATGACGCATGTGATGATCATTTGTAAAAAAAAAAATTTGTATATTAAAAAACATCCCGATTAGTGTTCATATTTATAAAACAAGGCTATTCCTAATAAAGTTAAGGAAAAATTTTTTTATTTGTAAAAAAAAAAAGAAAAAAGACTGATCGGTCTTAAAAAGACTGCGGTCCTTAAAAAGACCGACGGTCTTATTATATGTGATACAGGACCGAAAGACCGCGGTTTTACACTAAGATAGACCGGTCCGTCTTTTTATGGTGTAGGACCGTAGGACCGCGGTCTTTTAGGACCGATGACCATCTTTATCTCTAAGTAATCTTCTTTTTCTTCTTCCTTTTCCTTACTTTTAGGGTGTTTTGTGCTTATATCACTTATGAATATATCTTTCCACTCAATTCTATGGTCCTATACTTGATTTGAATCTAACGAGCTTGTTGCAATTGTACCTGGTGGTATTATTTGTCAATAATTTTCACAACTTCCTATTCTGTTTTGCTTAATTCTTTCTGAATTTGTTCCTTATTTTCCAGAATTTTATCAATTTCAAAAAAAAAAATTTCTTTCTTGTAGATTTTTAAATATACTTATATTTTCACTTAAGACACTGAACTTTTTTTAATGAATAATGGAAGAGTGAATATGTGTAATTAAGCATAATATTTTTTATTTATTTAAAAAATACATCAATGTTTCTTTTTTATAGGAATGAAAGCATTAACAGACTGGACCTGAAAATTACTTAATGGGTATGTATAAAAATAGGAAATGGAATTTTTTATTAGTTTGTTTAAAAATGTATTAACATTAGTTTCTCCTTTTTTTGTAAAAGTGCTGAGACAGCTAGGTTTAACAAACTGAACTTGAAATTAATAAATCAGATGGGTATAAAGAATTTTTTTATTTATTTGTTTAAGAAAGTATTATTTTAATGGAAGATATGGTGTAAGTATATATTAATAGGATTTCTTTTTTTTTTTGTTTTGAAAAACATATTGTTAATTCCTTCTTTTTATTTGTTGGAAAAATGTTTTTTAATGATTTATTTCATTATTTATTGTAGCTAATACGAATAATCTGTTCATACTACTTCTACTAGGGAATATTTTACTAACAAAATATTGCTCAATAAAATACATCATAAGCTGATGAAGAGCATCGTTATGTACAAAAAGTTGGGATTGAGAATAGGTATTGGTGAACAAATTCGGTTAATTTGTTAAGTATTACGTTGTATAACATATTACCATATGATCGTCATTTATACAAATAACTTTCAGTATATTTTTTTGAAGTTTTTTTTTTATGAGTGATAAATGATATATGTTAAACTGGTTTAGGACTGAGTCTTGTGATCAAGTCCAGAACCGGACTTGGTCAGACACAAGTCCTGGACTAATCATATATGGACTTAGTTTGTAGGTCAGGACCGACTTTACCAACCCTAGATAACGTACTGTACATGTAGACTGTAGAGCCAACTTCTGTTTATTTCCCTAATGAATAACCTAGTTACATATAAGCTACATCTCAATCATCGATTGGAACTTAATAAATAAATGTTAGTTAGACGAAATGAGATAGATCAATTGAGTGTTTGTAAACAAAAACTAATCGGCCGAAATGGTCGAGATATTTGTCCACAGGTATATCCAAAATCACTTTATCTCTTGCATTAATATAATTTTTTATATCATATGTGAAATAGAAACGAAAGTGTAGTAGTAGATAGGCGAAAAGTAGCATTAGATAGTATGGAAACTCTCATCTTATGGGTTAGAGCTCGAGATGTTTCCCCCTAAGCTAACTTTTTTACATTCATTTACAAGAATAAAGTTTCGCTTTTTTCTCTACAAATCTGATATTCCCTAATTATAATGTTTTATATAAAAAAGGTATAGCTCCCAAATTGAAAATTGCATATATTGATTATTTTCTAAATTTCACGCAGCCTTGCTAAAAAAATATATTAAAGTTATAGTAGGGCATACTTCTCAATATGATATTGAGTATATTCTCCCATAAATTCATCATCACCATCATCAATATCACTATCACTATCATCAAATGGATCTGGACTATCACAATTCACCGAGTGTTCTAATTTTTTCTCTATGATTCGATCAAGATTTTCTAGTATATATGTCAGGGATCTGGCCTTGAAGTTGTTATCCTTTACATGCGGAAGTATCCATTTACTATATATTTTTCCGTGTTTCCCGGAGACGATGATATTATATCCTTGTTTTATTGCAAAATCAATATAAAGTTCGCACAAGTAACAACATCTCTTAGACACCGCTATAAACACCCTACTTTTAATTTTACTGTCGATAATTAAGGGGGCCAATATGTTCATTTCTGCATGTAAGTATATACATTGTTTAACGTCATCGTCGTCAAGTGGTTGTTGTTGTGTGGCATTATCGGTATATACTTTATTGATTCTTTCTATTACTTCAGGCTTTTTCGAACACTTATCCATTAAACGTTTATATTTGTCTTCATCAATAAACCTTTTGATAATATTTTTCCACGAATATATGGGCTGGTCATTTATGATAACAGGCCTTCCTTTAAACACTTTAATGTTAGAGAATAGTGATTTATATTGTTTCTTACGTGCACATACTATGATACCTTTAATAGACTCTATATAAGACCCCACTTTCTTAATATGACCTAAGAATTTTGGGGGGAAGTCAGACTCATCTTCAGACTCATCTTCAACTTGCTTATAATACTTGTTACAAACTAGGGATATCAAGATCAAACTTGTATTATTTGTATCGCCAACCTTAGCTGAAAAAAAATCTCTAAAAGATTTAACGTATTTATTACCGGCACAGATTTCAATATCATTCTTAAGTTTATCCAATCTAGACTTAAGTTTAGTAGAGCAGTATGACACCACATCCCCGAAAAAATCACTTTCGGTATCTTCTGATATCTCGGGAGCATTTTTCGATATATTTTTCAGATATTTCGTAATATTATCAATATACTCAACATCTTTGTCGAGCCAATCAAAGTTCTTAGAAAGGTAAATTTCACAGCGACCTTGTACAATTTTCAACCATACTGCAACTACCTCTTTATCCCTTGCAAGTATTGTTGCTAAATAGCAGGAAAATCTATCAAGAACATTCAAGTCAGTGACTTCATCACTTGCTTCACTGACAACAAAGTTGATACTCTGGGCAACGCATTCTTTACTATACAACTCCTTCTCACGCTCTTTCTCACGCTTTTTTAACTTTTTCAATTCCTCTGGAGACATTCGAGCTACTTGACAATTTACTTATTTAGCAAATTTATTCCATTAAAAAAATTTTTAGTGATATTTTGATAAAAGAGCCTTACCTAATCAATACTGCATAAATCATCACGTCACGTCCTACTGACCCCCTTACTATAAAATATTTATTTATATTATGCAGAGGGGTGATGATATGGTTACACAGGTCAAGAAGGTAATTTTTGCATGCTGTGCGGATTAGTGTTTGTATCCGGATATAGCAAATCCGGTTGTATTAATGGATATCCGGTAAGAAGTGGGTATCCGGATAAAGGTTTTTTTGAGTTGACGTTATCCGGATACAATTTTAGTCTAAACGGATCCTCAGGATATATCCGTTTATGTTAGCAGATCAAATACATTTTAAGAAATATTAAATGCCAATCTGCACAATGTAGTAATAATTGTCTCAATGTCCAATATTTCGCTACATGAATCACCAAGTAATAAAAATACTAAAACGCGTTAAACCACTTTTTATCTTGCTTATCGTCATTTGTAATACTCCATTTTCCAGTATGACACAGCGCAAAAGCGATATTACTTCTTTTTTGACTTCTCCCTCTCCAAATGCGGCATCTACTCCCTCAGAATGACTGTTCTCAGACGCGGGAAATCTTTTAACTGTTAAGAGAACACGAATGAAACCTGAGTTATTTAGTCGTGTTATGTTCTTAAAACGGAATAGTTCCCATTTTGCTAATATTCACCCAGCTCAACAATTAACTACTACTCCTATTGATGTTTAAACTATACCTTATATAAATTACACAAATAAATTCATGCTTTTGAGATAAATTTTATTTTTTTTATATTTACAAATTATTATACAATATTAATGATATATGTATAAATACAATAAATTATATTAAGTTCACGGAATTTATCCGGGTATAAACTCGCTAATGACCCGTTAGACATCCACGAAGATCACGGATTAATCCGGATGGATATCTGGATTTGTAAAAAATATTTTATCAGATAACCGGATTTGAAAATTCTTAATGGAGACGGATTTATTTATCCGGATGATATCCAGATACAAATACTAGTGCAGATGACACACAATTTATTGGTATGGCTATACTCTGTAATACATATGCGCCCAATCACATAAGACTTATATTTCAGAATTTTTTTGTGCGCATGCCGACGATGCCGCACATCCTTTCTAAAAAAGGTGTGCACAGAACAATGGTAAAGAAATACTATTCTTTTACTATTCTTTTAGGTATTCCTTATTGTTACACAATTATTCAGTAAAAAAAAATGTAACTACATGCCCTGATCCAGTCTGATCCAGTGTTTGAAGGTTTTGGCTATAGAACATATAATGCCAGTACCTGATAGGCTGGAAGTTAATAACCCTAGTATTATAAATAATAGTATTTCTTTAAAACCAAATAATTTAAGATATAGATGTAATTATTGTGAACAATATTATAAGGTAGGTGAGTTGAAGAGCAAGAGGAAGGAATAAAAGAAACGGGTGATTCTAATTTAACTACAATATTATTTAAATTAACAACTATTTTGCTTGATGTAGAATAATGTTCTGTATATACTTTTCTGCTAATTAATTACATCGTATTTCAGTGAATAGACCAATTCATTATTTATTATAAAATTACTATAAATTAATTATGTCTGTCAAAATACATTACGTCTGTCAAAATAAATTTAATTAGTATTTTGTCATTTTGACGAAAAGTATAGTCCTGTATAATATCCAATTGGTAGATTTTTAATGTCTTTTTGCTGATCTAACATAGCAAGGTAATAGGTTGTAGGATTTTTTTTTCTTTTTCCTTTTGTATCAAGTGCATAACTACCAATTGAGATTTTAGTAAAGTTTGTGAAAGTATTGTAACAAGAATAAACTTGTTTTATTTGTTAAAAAATTAAGCTTTGATTGAGTATAATAAGGATAATACTAATGTTTTTGATAAATTCATCTTTTTAATTTTTTATCTAATGTTTTTGAATTGAAAAATTTAAAATACTTACCAATTTAATATACATTACTGTTTAAAATTATATCATCAACACTTGCATTTATAAATATACTTGTTTGAATTTTGCTATGTATATTTTCTACTGAATAATCATTAAAATTAGGTAAAACATTTTTATTGTCTCAAAAAAGGATGGTTAATATCTCCCAATAAAAAATATCTAACAAAGATACTAATAGAACTCGCTTACTTCTAATAGAGGTCACCCACAAGTCTAAGGTAAAAATTACATAGAAAAGTCAAAAAAACTGGTTGAATTCATAAGGTAAAATTCTTTATAAATTAAAAAAAAAATAAATGTAATTCTGTGGTAAGTTTTTTTATATAACTGTTAAGTATATGGTAAAATTAAACAGGATTTTAAAATGTAACTTGTAGTTATAAGGTAAAATTTACGATTTCATAAAATTTATTACTAGTAGTATATACTATTTTTAGCACAAAGTTTATTACACAGACACGTAAAATTTTATTACACAGATATGTAAAATTTATTATACTATTTTTAGTTACAAGTTTATTACACAGACACGTAAAATTTATTATACTATTTTTAGTACAAGTTTATTGCACAGACATGTAAAATTTCATTACACAAACACGTAAAATTTATTATATTATTTTTAATTACAAGTTTATTACACAGACATGTAAAATTTCATTACACAAACACGTAAAATTTATTATGTTATTTTTAGTTACAACTTTATTACACAGACACGTAAAATTTTATTACACAAACACATAAAATTTATTATATTATTTTTAGTATAAGTTCATTACACAGACACGTAAATTCCATTACATAAATACAGATACGTACAAATTTATTACAAATTAAAAGAATAAATATGTAAAAAAGAATTTTTTATGGATATCTGTGTAATATAAAAAATTATAAAATAAAGTAAAGACTGGAAAGGTTGGGGGCGATAGGTAGGATAAATTAAAGTTATTTTTTTTTATTTTTTTTTTTTGTCAAAAAATAATATATATATCTGTAATTATTGATCAATTTTGAACTTATTTTAAATAGGACTTTTTTACATTTTTTTAAAATAATTATATCTAAAAATTAGGCCAATTTTAAAAGAAATAAAAAGTACCAATGCATAAAATAAATTATGTTTTATATAATCTATAATTATAAATGTTACTGAACTTGTAAAGTAAAAATATATGTGATTTAAAAATGTAACTGGAAAGGTGGTAAAATTACTTAGTAGAAGGAAAATTTAAAGTAAGGTAAATTTACATATAAATCTTAAAAATTTTACGGTGACCTCTATTAGAAGTAAGCAGAATCCTATACTAATAGTACTTTATTATAATTTTTATGTATCTAACGTAATGCAAATATTCATATATGAAAAATAGTTTTAATATATTCATTGAACAAACCTGAGCAAAAAAGTATTGTATACACATTAAGAATTATTGGTTTAATAGATCAAGTATCATTTAGTATTTAATAACTTTACAGAATTTATTTTTTATAGTTATTCTAATTTTATCCATCCACTATATGCTAATTCTAATAAAAGATTTATTATCTAAAGCTTGGGCTTCTTTGCTAATTTTACATGTCTTTGACATTGGAAATAAAATTTGTAAATCTTTATCCAAATCACCATACATTGTAATTTGTAATTGATGTACTTAATAATTATATATATTTTTTTTTTGAAAAAATGTTTAACTAAGTTATTGAGATATTATTAAAGGTAATTTAATTGATAATTAATTATTTTAACTATTTATATTATTAATTGTTACATTATATTTTATTAATTTATATTATGTTTAAAAAATAAATAATGCATCAGCATTACATGTAAGGGTTCAAGAATTGGAATAAAGGATTGTATATTAGATGGAATTGAATGGGCTACATAACCATTAAGATATGTATTATTGCTACTTTTTAATACATTTTACTTTAAATGTAACTGTTGTTCTTTTATTTCAACAAACGTATATTTATACAAAACTTTTATATTTATTTACAATATCTAATAAACCAAATTTTAATTGTAAAGAATATAATGTACTTTACTAAAAATGGCCAATTTTTTGAAATGATTTTGTAATAATTTTAAAATACTACTAAAATACATTTAATACATTAAAATGTTTTTATTATACTTTAGTTATTATTTTGTAATTGTATTGTATCTAGGTGTACAGAATTTATACAGAAATTATAATAAATAAAATTAGATGTTTTTTGAACAAAAATTATATAAACTTTTTTCATAAGGTAGTATATTTCTAATTTCCATTAATCACAATTTTAAGTTATCATTATATATCTATCTGTGAATCCATATGTCTTCAACTAATGGTAAGATAATTTCAGGATCTAGGAATGGTGTTGTTGACCTATTATTGGGTACTGAGACATGATGGATGTGTGATAACCATTTGCTAGGGAAGTTCCAACTACGCGTTTTGGAGTCTTTATCTAATATTGCTACTTTACAGCAATCAGCTGGTATAGATCGTCTTGTATTTTGCTATCCAATGGTTCCATTATCATTGAATCCTGGATGATAATTCACTGAAATCCTCTTCATGTGACGATGTATTTTGTTAACCTTGCCTATTGACCATACATCTGTATCAGCTGTTAGCTCCCTGATGAAAATGATTTGTCTTCAACGTGCATCTGGTACAATATCCAGTAAAAAAGCCCAATAATTCACTTTGGCAAGCTCCAGATCATTAGCGACCATTAAATTGCCTATTCTAGATGTACACAAGTGGACTACATTACAATACCATTTAGCTATTCTTCCTTGTATAGGGAGTACTAGTGCTAATCTGCGATATTGTTTTCATGACATAAGATATGTGCCTCTAATAAACAACTGGTCGATATAGTATATTGGATAATGTGGGCTTTAATTGATCCAGTATATGTATTTTGTAAGCTAAAATTGTTTAAAAAATTTCAGTAGCAGTTCTTTCCCTCTTATGACGCTCCAAGATGATCTATTGATCTGATCTATTACTATTGATATGTCAACTGCTTTGAATATTACCAATGCATTAAAAGAAACGTTTTTCTAAGCTTAGGGCTTTATTCAAGGCATTGAGTGAAGTTTGCAGTCAAAAATCAGATTAGTAATGAGTGATTTGAGCTACGCATCCCTGAGTTTAATTTGTGTAGACATTGATGCATGTAAAGCACCATTTAATCTAATTATTAGATCCATTATGTTGTTGATGCAATAGTGTTTTCATAGATGGTCCATACTGAGTTTCCCCTCATGAAATAATAGTGATAAAGGTGTATTCTTAGGCAATTTCAACCAATTTTTAACTAACTTCATTACCAGGGCGAATATTTGATTCCAATCTTGCTCTAATAATATCATAATTTGAGCTATGTACATTAGTCTAAGTATCAATACTCTGTTAACTAGATAGATACTTTGACCTGCTGAAACAAATTTTCTGCAAACTGTATTACAAAAATTATTGACTATCATAGACAGGCGTTGCATCTACTTTCTTTTACTCAGTTTGTTAGAAAACCAGACTCTGAGGTATTTTATTTTATCATTTGTAGATTGAACTATAGAACGGTTTCAGCCTAATTCAATAGTTTGTGCGTGTTGTTTCACTATCAGGTTGATAATTATCAATTCTGACTTCTTGGCATTGATATCGATATCATTAATCAAATAAAATTCATTTGCTAGCTATGTCTACGATCTTTTGCATCCTAAATTTTGATGATTCTAGGAACACTGTATCATCATCTATATATGCACAGATAAGAACTTGAGGTTTATATTGTGTCCAAGTTATAGGATCGTTAATATAATTCTGCCAGGTGACTATCATCTCATAGCCACTGTCTTTAATTTGTTGTATTCCTACTAAAAGCAGGTCATAAAAAATTCGCCAAAGTAATGGAAAAAGTGCATCGCCTTGATCAATTCCATCATTTCCAATAAATCCATCACTTAAGCCATATGCTGTGGCGACCCTAGGAGATCTGTATTTGAAAAGAGTTAAAATCTATGCAACTATAGATATTGGAATGTCAATACGAATCAAGGCTTGTTTTAAAACCTCTAGCCTAACTGAATCGAACGCTTTTTTCATGTCCTGTGTGAGGGCCCATAATTTTTTTTTGTTTTCCCTGGCATTCTCAATGAAGTTGTTAACTAAATGTATCAGTTCGTTTGTGCATTCTCTGGGTAAACCACAACAATTGTAAGGGGAGGGCCCTAAATGACGTTATTTCATAGGGGGTAGGGGGGTTTAAACTTGTATGATGTTACATATTTCCTAATTAAGCAATAAAATAAATTTTCTGTGCCATATTAATTACTACGCCATTTGCAATAATGTCACAATAGAAAGTTTCTCACGCTACCTCCTTTCGCCACTTGCAACTTTTTACACCAAATTTTATTTCCTAAATAAAATATGTTCGTATTTTTTTTCATTACGGTCACGTTACTTAATAATGAAACAAACATATTTTCGCGAGCCAAAATATTCCAAGAATTATCTTATTTCAAAGCCACAGAACCTATATGAACAATATGTAAATGCTTTTGCATTCTCTGAAATGGTGAAAAGTCAGAATACAACATTAAATAAAAAGGAATTGCAGCAGCATGCACAAAATAGTTGGTGAGAAATAAGAACAAAAGATAAAAATATTATTCAGAACATTATTTCTGAATTATCAAAAACTCCTGTTCAGCCCTCTTTTTCCAATTTTTCTAATTTTTCTTCGAAAAGAACACCTACAACTGAACGTGAACCTTCTCCTAATATCATTCCCGAACCTTCTAATGATACTCAATTTCCACAAAACGCGATAGCACAAAAACATTCGTTTACTCTTTTACAAAATTCTAAGACTGAACTATATGAATACAATAAACTATTATATGTGACAACTTCATCAGAATTTCGTACACAATTTACTTCAAAAATTAGAAAACTTGAGGAGATTATAATGTTTGAGGAAAATAAACTTAAAAAATTAAAAGGTAATGGATACACAGGTCGAAAAGTGAAAAATCAGGCACCAATCGGTCACCAATCAGGTAGCTGATTGGTGACTGATTGGTGACTGATTGGTGCCTAATTGGCATTTTCGCCAAATACCGTCACCAATCAGGCAGTTTACTAACTTTTGATCCAGTGATCAGAAAAAGATGAAATATAGCTCATTGGAATCGTCTCAACAAGACGAATCTAATGGTAGTAAAATCGCATCTCTAGGATTGATAGTTAATAAAAAATTAAATAAAATATAAATGATACATTTTCATTTTTATATTTTACTTAATTTCTTATCAAGTATTAATCCTAGAGATGCGATTTTACTACCATTAGATTCGTCTTGTTGAGACGATTCCAATGAGCTATATTTCATCTTTTTCTGATCACTGGATCAAAAGTTAGCAAACTGCCTGATTGGTGACGGTATTTGGTGAAAATGCCAATCAGGCACCAAATCGGTCACCAATCAGGTACCTGATTGGTGACCGATTGGTGACTGATTGATGCCTGATTTTTCACTTTTCGACCTGTGGCGGAATAAGAAACGGCAAAAGTTGGAAAAGGAGAATATTGTAGAGATGTATGATACACCAGGTCGACCATCATTTTTAATGAATGATCCTAGTCTTTTGGAAAAAATGCACAATTGCATTGAATTTGGAGCTGCAGACCACAAATGACGCAAGGAGGTAATCAAAGTTCGGACGATCAAACATCTTCGTGAAAAGATGGAAGAGGACTACAGAATATTTATGGGAAAATCTACAATACAAAAATATTTGCAACTTCGTCATTCAGGAATAAAAGAGGCGCAACTACATCATCATCCTGCACAAATACGGCTGGCAGCTGTTGGAAAAAATGAAATGAATGAACATATTGATGAACATTATTGTTTAGCATCGGTCAAAGGTGTAAAATCATTTGCTTCAGCATTTTCGCAAGATGTTGTTCTGATTTCACAAGATGACAAAGCCAAGGTAGAGAAGTTTTTTATGCTATTTTTGGTTTTTTTTTAATAATTTTAGGTGATCATTAGGATCCACTAGGGATCGCGGCAGTTGAAAAAACATTTAAAACTTTACAGACAGCAAACGAACCTGTATCCGTTCCTGACCATGATTTTCCAAAAGGTGCTAAGCATAAACTAATTCCATCTGTTTATTTGGTGATTAATCCTAGTAACACCAATGATTCCTTACGCTCTGGTAAAATGAGAATATTTGTTCGCCCTGAATACTTTTTGGGAACCCCATGTGAAACACATATGGTTGACCTTGTAAAAATCACTGAAGAGGAGTCTTTCCATGAATTTACGTATCATGATGGTATTGTTAAACCTATTTGGTGTTTATTAACGAATGGTGGACCTGATAAGAATCCCCGGTTTCTGGCCAATATTATGAAATATGTACTATTATTTAAAAAACTTGATTTGGATTATCTTACAGTGCGAACACATGCACTGGGACAGTCAGCATATAACCCAGTAGAACGAAGCATGGCATCACTTTCTGGAAAGTTGGCAGGAATTGTGTTTAATGCTTTTAATTATGGAAATCACCTTGGTAATATGAATGGGCAAAGTACTATAATTGATAAAAAACTTGCTCGTAAAAACTTCAAGCATGCCGGAGACCATCTTTGTGAAATTTGAAATCGCGATCTTATCAATGGGCATCCAGTTAATATTACTTATATTGATGAACATGTATGATCATAATATTTTTTTAGATACTGAAGTGATGTGGGATTGGATTGATCGTCATTCACAAATTTGCAAATATTCATTTGACTTATGCAAATGCAATAACAGGGATTGCTGTAGACCACCAAGAGCTCTGGATGTTTTTGACTTTTTATCGCTGAATGGTGGTTTTCTTTCTCCTGTTGTGCAAGATAAAAATAAACACTTTCTAAGTTTGCTGCATACATTGGAATATATTAATGATCGACTTCCTAGCTACTATGATATGCATTGCCCAAGCATTTCTTCTGAAATTTATGATGAACTTGTATGCAAAAAATGTGGTAAGTATTTTCCAACGAAGGCGTTTTTAAAAATGCATACTAAGGTTATGCATCAAAATGGAAGAGAAAAGATTGTGCAAATGGTGCAGGAAAAAGAAAATAACACAATCCCAGAGGTTCATGCAGGTGAAATATCACATACTCAGCATAAATATGCTAATGTTGAAGCTAATGGCAATGCAAAAAATGATATACGTGATGGTAAATACAAAAGAAGTGGCGTAAAAAAATCACAACTATGGGAACAGGATCATCTTACATTTCAAATTTAATTTTCAATAGTAAAATATTTTTTAATTACAAGTATTTAGCATAATAAAATTTATAAAATTGCTATGAATCACCGGTGTCACGTGATTTTTAATAATGTATAATTTGTCACCCCGCGTCACACCCTCCTTGTTTCCGTTTTTACTATGTATTTCAGGGACTTAGAATTTTTTTAGTATAAAAAATCCTATATGTCATCCTTATTTGTCACATCCCATAATTCCAGCCAAATTTTATAATTCCGGCCAAAATATCCTTTTTTGGAAACTTGAGTAACGTTACACAACCCAAAAAGGCAATTTTATTTCTCATAAAAATCGGGAAATGAGTTACACAATATTCCAAAAAAGGCAATTTCTATGTCGATCATTTAATTCCGGCCAAAATTAAAAATCACGTGACACCGGCGATGATCGCCACCGGCGATAAATAGCAAACTCCTAAAATTTATAATTTGCGGTATAATGTATTGATTGTAAAATTTATTAAAAATGTATTTGAAATATTTATTTGACGCATTAGATATTAAAATACGGTCACTTATATATAAAGTTACACACTTTCCTTAAATAGTAAGATGATGAAGGGAGGGGGGGGACAAAAATTCCAAAAATTAAATGACGTCATTTAGGGCCCTCCCTTAACCTTGCAGTGCATTATTTTGTTTTAAAATGGCACTCAACCTGTTTGTGATCATCTTTGTAAAGGTTTTCTGAAAACAATCCAGCAATCAAAGCAATAAGTCAAGTATTCCAAATGTTATATTTAAAGTTGGTGGGCTTAGATATAGGGAGAATTACCGATGTTTTCCATGCCATAAGTACAAGCCCAGTTTGTATTATTAAGTTTCCTAATCTGATTAAGAGGAGGACTAATTCTTTAGGTAATTGTTATATTATTTTGTAGTTAATGCTGAATAACCCTGCAGCAGATTTTTCATTTAAATCTTTAACTATATTATTCCACTCTTTCAGGGTGATATTTTTTGTTGTAACTTCCATAACCTCTTTGAACTTTCCTATAAGTTCGTAAATGTGTTGCCAAAACGGTATCAATGTGTTCAGTTGTGTATTTCTTTTCTTAAACATGTTCGCGAAGTCATTGTCCACTGCTTTTTTAACCTCTTCTGGATTTGTAACCAGTCTCTTAGTCGTGACTCCTGGTTTTTCATCTACTAATACCCTATCTATAACAATATTGGTGTGGATATTTTTATCTAATATGCTGGATAGCCATGTAGTTTGATCGTCTCATATAATCTCTACAGACTTCACTTCTAAGGCTTTATATTTTTTGTAATTGGCTCTTAAACGGCAATTCACTTTTGTTTTAAGTGCGTTAAACCAATCCTTCAAGAAAATATCGTACATGGCTATGTTACACTTATTATTGTCTTCAGTTGAAGTAACATAATCTAGATTATATTTGATAATTTTTCTGGTCCATCTAGATTTGGCATCCTCATTTGTTATTATCTGTTGGTTGCCATGGCAATACTTTACAGAAACCTTAAATTTTTAAACAATACCGAATTGATATAATAATGATGTTAAATAAATATCATGGCGATATCGATTTGCAAATGATATCATTATGATATCGCAATAATATCATTTCAATATTAATTCAATATATCGAAATAATATCATAAAGATATTTGTTTGAAAAAATATCAGATCAATATCATTTCAATATTGTTATAACAACAATGAATTTTTTGAAAAATGGGAAGTAAATACGATATTAATATGATATCGTTCCAACATTAATTCAATATCAATATGATATCGTAAAGATATCACTTTATAATTATCTAATCAACATCATAACGATATTGAC